CATTGGTTATAATGAATGGAGGGCGATGAAACTCTTGTCAATCGAGAGGCTAATAGCTGGCCTGTTGTGTGAAATCATTGTATCATTTTTTGAAAATGTCCGGGGTAGCCGAAAAAAGGAGATCGAAATCCAAAAAGTCGTATTTTTACGATTTGGGACATTTTTAGAGGTCGTGTAAAGTAAAATAAAACATGCATATACATATATTATTGATATTAAATATATCATATAAAAAACTAAACAATGAATCAGCTGTCATTGACAGATTTTATATTATAAGCATGGTCAGTGGAAGGTCAGCGTATTGTCTAACTTGAACTCACTGACTCCGTAACATTATTGTGGGTATGGTATAAGCTGAATTTGATTTGATGTAGCTCTGCTCATTTACAGTGGCGAATTTACGGGCTCATGGGCTCCAGCTCCCTCCTCTAGAAATTTCACAGCACCCGCATGGATTGTGGCTAATTTTGTGGCAGAATTTTATTTTTCTGGGGGAGGTATTTCTAAATGGCTCCGACACAAGTGCCTGAAATGCCATGAAATCACGTTTTCGGCCTCCAATTAAAATTTCTTAGCGGGAGAACCCCCTGACCCGACCCCCTTGCGGGGCTTCACGGTCGGTATCAGGCCCCCTCCCCACCACCATGGTTAATCCGGCGTTGATGTTCCCTCTTGTGCAGCTGCAAAAGAATGTACAAGTTCATTGCCTCATTGTCAAAGATCCCACTTTTCTACCCCAGTTCGGGTAATGAGGTCGAGCGTATATTGTATAGGGGATATTAAACAAGCAAACAGTATGGCTGATGTCTCCCGCCAAAACCCCAAAGTAAAAGATGACACATTAATTAATCGCACTTTCATATTTTTTTCAAAAGTATCGAGCAATCAAACTATACTGTAAATTTCATCACTCTCTGTCAGATAGAAATCAAGGTTATCTTGTCCCAAAGCATCGACCAATGAAATTGCCAAGCTGTAGCTCAAAATGTTCAGTCAAGACCTGATGAACATCTACACCAAGTTTAAACATTCTAGCTCAATTAAAAGCTGGGTTGTTATGTTCCAGTACTTCATTATAACCAAAGTTATCATACCCCAAAGCATCAACCAATTCAAAGTCCCGGCCAATCAAGTTGCTTTGCTTATCCTGACTAAGAGAATGCTCATTGTCGAACTTGGTCAAGGTAATATGGTCAAGGTACTAATGTAATGAAACTATACACAAAGTTTCATCAAATTGCTTATCTCTGCTTACCCATTTTAATAGTCCCCTGCCAATCGAAAAGCCCCCCGACCCACCCACTCCACTCCCGTGTAATACATTAGGTTATAATTGTGTTACAAACGTATCACAAGGAGCATTTGAATATTCTCTCTGAGGCATCTGATACCACTTGTTCCTATTATTATTTTTTTTTTTTGTGTCATTTCTACAAATCGGATTTCTCAGAATCTAATCATAGGATCAATCTGAAACTTTGACCTACCCCCCCAAAAATGGGGTGCGAATGTTGATTAAATATATTTTCAAATCGTTTTTCGAATCCGAAATCACCGAACTTTACGAAAAAATTCATTTGACCTACATTACTGTAACTTTGTAACTATTTGACCTATTTTACTAATTCTTTTTTTGAGGGGTGCCTTGAAACATTTACTTAAAATCTGCAATTTCGAATTTTCGAATTTCGAAAATTCGTCGCTGTGATTTTGAACCGGAAGTTGAGATCAATTTGAAAACTTTTTTAATAGTTGCACAATTTTCATGAAATTTAGAATGTAAGTAGATCTTATCAATGCGATTTCAAAAATATCATTAGAAATTTTCTAAATTATCTCCCCTTGATGAAATTAAGGATCAAAGTTTTCAAAAAAATCGACGAAATATAGGTCAGATTGCCTTGATTTTTTTTTCTTTACTAGCTACGACACTACTAAGTCAATTTACGGCTTCCATGAGGGGAAAAAAGTGGAATTTCGCAGTGACACCGGCACCGATTGTCCGAAAACCATGAAATTTGGACACAATATGCCAATTACCACTCTGTGACTTACTCCCATTTTGATCAGATTAAAAAAAGGAGTTTCAGCAAAAAATAAACAACCGATTTTCGGAATTTAAATTTGGTTTTAATTAATTTTGAAATTCCAAATGCAAAGGGATCTTATCGCCTCTTCCGTATGTGATTGCTATTAGTACTATACACATTATCCGTAAAAGACATTTTTTTTTAAAATGAGCGCAACACCAAAAACCGAAATCGACTATTTTTTCTTTATCATACATTAAATATTATATGCCATCGGTTAATTTTTATACGCCCACATTGAAATTGAATTTCAGCGATTTCCGATAATTACTGTCAGAGTTATGGCCCTTCATCACTTAAAAAAATTCTTGTGGATGCTCTAGAGGCCAAAGTTAATGTCCGATTGACTTTAAATTTATACACAGTGGTTAAGGTCATGAGACGAAGTAGGCGATTGATTTTCAGCGATATCTGATATTTACTGCCAGAGTTGTGGCCCCTGATCACTTCAAAATATCTTGTGGACGCTCTAGAGGCCAAAGTTAATATCCGATTGACTTTAAATTTATGCGCAGTGTTGTGGCCCCTGATCACTTCAAAATATCTTGTGGACGCTCTAGAGGCCAAAGTTAATATCCGATTGACTCTAAATTTATGGTCATGACACGAAGATGCCTACAGTATTGATTTTCAGCGATATCTGATATTTACTGCCATTTCCGATAATTACCGTGAGAGTTATTGCCCTTGATCACTTTAAAAAATCTTGTGGACGCTCTAGAAGCTAAATTCAATATCCGATTGACCTTAAATTTATACAGTGTTTAAGGTCATGAGATGAAGAAGCCAATTGATTTTCAGCGATTTCCGATTGAATCTTTTGAAAATCACACCTAACTCTAAAACTAAAGGCAAGAAACGGGCCGGTTTACATTGAAGCACAACTAATTCCTGTCCTGCGTACTCTATAAATATAATATACGGTTTTCTAAATATGCCTTGGATGGTAGCCACAAGTCGACAATTTTTGTTTTGTATTTTTCCCATTTTGTTCATAAGGTAAATGTAATTTTTCAGATACCTGATGACATTTATACTTATTGTTTCAATAGATTCTAATAACCCCCTTTGCAGTTAATATGAAAGCTTTCATATCTGCTATGCAGATCTAGTTGTAATTATATCTGTATTCACTAGGTAACGAGCTTAATATTTGCTGAGCATTTCCTTTAAGGGCACCTGCTAAATAATAGCCGCGCTCTTCCATTGTCCAGCTGTTTATTACAACACACGTTTCAAAATGTACCTCGTAGTCCATCAAAGAACCAGATCCATCAAAGGACATTGGTTGTAAGATAGGTTTTCTAAACTTGAGTCTTGTATTCAATGGAGGATTTATATCCTCTAATCTAGTCCTGGTCTCAAGGGCTCTACTTTCTTCCTTGTTAAATACCATTGGTCTGTGAGCATTGTCAAACTCCGTAGAGGGAATGCTTTCAGAAGTAACTTCAGGATTCTCAAATATCTGTCGTCTCATACGAGACTTATCATGGCTTTCTTTAGGTCTTGCACATGTACCAATTTCTGTCGGATCACCACCAATTGATCCTGCAAGTGGTAAGTTCAAACTTACGCTTAGACTATGGAGCTTCTCACCTAACTCATCGATCCGCTCCTGAGGAATTGAGTCCTTGAAGTGGATCTCTTAATCCTTTGAAAGCGGCGGAGTCAATACTGATCCAGCCTCCATGTCTAATACCACTGACTTACCTGTACTGTAGGATTATGATTTAAAGAGGTATCCCACCCCTGCCACCAAATTTCTGTAGCGCCGGTTAATATCCGACGACAGGGTTTGGGGTATAGGAACTCTGCAACCAGTGATTGATATTAGGCCAATCACGAACCTCGGGTAAAGTAAGCAAAACGCAAAGGCTCCCCTCCCGGAGACAAGGTTTGGAATTAGCCAAAAGGTAATTCTCCTCAAGTATCCCCAAGCAAAGAATAAGAGAAGGCCAAATTATAACTAATGTGTATTTAGAAACCAATAAAATTACAATGTGTATAACATGTTACTTATGATCAGATACTTTCTTAATTATATGTAGGTACGTAAGATTTATTGAGAAGGGTGTTACAACTCGCTACCCCGGTATGTTGATTCAAAACTCAAACCTTAGATCAGTTATACTGAGTAATAGCGAGAGTACCTTAAGCAATTGAAAAATACTACTTACGTAGATACAGTCCAATCACCCTACAAAACGGCAAATTATCACGTATAACTTTAGTAATAATAAACATAGCAAAATGGTAATGATTTAGGAAATATTTCAGACAAAGAATGAATATTAATAATTATAACAAATGTGAAACATACACATATTATACATATTTAAAATTAGCAAAACATACTACAGATTTTGATACTACAACAAAATATAAACGAATTAGAAATATATAAATTATCTACATAAATCATTCAATAATTGGACATGAAAAGCGTTATCTACCCTTATAAAAAACGAACGAGAAACGAAGGCCGTTTCAGTTATAAATAAAACATTTGAAAGGCACAAATTGATTGGCTATCCACAATTTGTTCTTTATTCTTCATAGAAATAATCAAAATCGTGCATAATAATTAAAAAATAATTAATAAAATGTCGCCATACCCTATACATACGTATACATGGGTGATTGTGACTGAATTTAAAATCTTTATGTAGTTATTCACTTGCCAGTCAATGTATCAAATGTCAGAATAAATTATACATTTAAATTGGACTGAAGTAGTAAAAGCTCCATAATGACGGATTTAAGCTGTAATAATGTCAACATGATGGTCTGTAGAATATTTTCAGAGTAGTTTTACACCGTGGACATTATTGATTTAATCTGTTCATATTTCTATATACTGACAAACCCACGGCCTATATTATGGACTATTCCACTAGCACTATATCAGTAAACAGCACCGGGAAGCTACACAATTCGCGATAGAACATATAGAAACACAATGAATATCAAAAAGTATGGGGGTATTCTCCCATTTCTTTTTGCAACCACCGTGTACGCTGGGACGTTTTTCTCGGTGTGTACCCCAGAGAATGGGAAAAGCGTCGGTGACATTGCTGTTGAAGATTGGGAGGGTAATGGCAATCTAAACCTGACCAGTAAGCACCCGGGACGTGTCCTTATGGTGGTTAATCTAGCCACTTTCTGAGGTAAGAAACGGGCTTACATAATCTTATTTAAAAAGAGGGTAAAATATAACTTTAAATATTAAAAAAGAAACTGCAAAAGTTTACTCTGCACATGCAATAGAATAAAACGAAATGCGATACTTAGGTGTGACTCCCACTGAAACAACAATTGGGTATTTGGTCCAAATTGATCTGGAACGATAGTTAACACAGAGAGTTTATCTGTCAGCTAATAGAATGACTGCATTATGTTATGGATGTCACTAATTTTTCTGCAAAAAGGGGGGGGGGGATACCATAAAATTGTATTTCCATGTATCCGTTTTGAAATTTGCTATTATGATTTCCACAAAGTAGTTGATTCTAATGCCGAATCTAAAAAAAAAAACCCAAAACAAGGGAATGTGAATTTCATTAGACACAACAAAATAACAAAACAATCAAAACCTAGAATATTAAAAAAAAGTTTCACAATGAACAAAGTCAGCTCTTGGCACTTTTCCAATTCTTATTCGACAAATTAATAGCAACGGAATATGTGCCATATGTACCAAACTCATGAAATAACCTGGCAGTTATCCACCTCGACTCTTTTAAAGAGATAGTGTACTTACGTTCAGATCTAAAATAAACAATCGTCCCATTTCATATTAATTTAAAAAAATATTGGTGCCATGTGATATCCCATTATATTAACTCGCTTAGAGCATTAGTCATCGAAATTGCGTCGAAAAAACTAATTTTCTAAGAATTGCCGCCGTTTTGGCCTCACTCCACTCAAATCCTGTATTTTACCACCCCCAATGGCACAACACATCTCTAAAGTCAAAAATATAAATTACCAGTATGTAATTGAGTTTGTACGAAAAAGAAAGAAGGTGTATTATTGCTTCGTTTGTCTAAACCACATGAAGATGACGATGTGAAATAGATAGAAAATAGTGTAAACTATAAATAAACATAACTTCAGTTAGAAATGGTCGCTTTGAATAATTATTGGCCCAGAATGTGTTTTAATAAAATTATTTTGTGTTGAGTACTCATGAAATTCCGGGGTTGGGGTTAAACCTTGAATCATCAAACCTCTAAAGGACCTGGTTAGCCGCCTGTGAATAGTTATAAGGATATTTTATACAACAGATTTTCAATGCATGTTACATAGTTATGAAATTAGAAGACTGACATCTGCGACACCTAACTTTGTTTTGAAAAAAAAGGAGAAAATCGAAAGTACTTATTGATTTAGACAACACGTGTTTAGAGACGTTTTTATGAAGCTATAGCCAGATCTAAATATTAAGGCCACTTGCAGATTTCGTCAAGGTCTCGAGATGTTAACAGGTTTAGGGCACGTGATTGTTGCCGAGGAATGTGGGTTAGAGCAAGGGCTAGGGTTAGGGTTAGCGCAGGCCCTGTTTACATATCGTGACCATGACGAAATCTGCAGGTGGCCTTAATATTGGTTTAACCCAATGGTTCTCAACCTTGTTTTTGCCAACGGCACACCTTGGAACATATGAAAAAATAGCGGCACACCTGGTTAAATATATATGAAAAATGTTTGAATTTTGCAAAATAAAACATGGTAAGTCAGACGGAATGCAATCGTAGACAGAGACTAGTCATGGACACATAGAATGACTCAAGCTAAATAAAGAAAAACACAGCTATGAACTATCAGTAGACACCAGTGGACACTCAATTGGGATCACTTGGTTTTTCACATTTTCTTAGTGTGCCGTTCAATTTCGTGGCACACTTAGGAAAATCTTGCGGCACACCTGTGTTCCGCGACACACTGTTTGAGAATCACTAGTCTAGCCATTTAGATATGGGGCGTTCTGCTAATAGCTTCACATTATTCTGTTGGTTTGGAATTACACCGAATATACAATGCTGAACCCTTCAATTATGATGCATGTTTGTGTTTTGTTTGGGGGGGGGGGGTGTTTTTCATAATTCTGACTTTTTCATATTTGACCGCGTTCAGTTTGTTTGCGATAATAAGGCTATAGAGTTAGCAAATCAAAGACATTATCGATCCGCTGGTTTGTATCATAATATGATGAAATTGTTGATAAAATCTTCGTAAGACCCCAGGTCGAATGTCATTGGAACCAATGAAATGTGCACAATTCCGGCCATGTCCCATTTTTGCCGATCCTAAACCGATAAATTAGTGAGACTTATTTTTCATGGTTAATACCATTATCGAATATTTGGGGGATGGGATGCATCCCGGTCATAAAACTTTAACCAACAAGGATAAGTATACCCTAAAAATGGTATATTATTTTGCTACCCCTTGAAGAATATAAAGTCCACACAAATTTAATATGGAGAAAATGTTGTTATAATGTTGACTATTTAAATACACGCCGTGAATATGAATAGGTATAAGTACTTTTTATACGACAGAATGTGGTACTGGTGGTCACATTAAAGACTTTTCTCACTGGCTTATCAGGTTCATGAACAGAGCCACGAAATCGCAAAATTGCATACTTGTCATTAAAAGGAAAGTGGTTGAACAAAGAACTGACCCATACAGTCATAACTGCTTCACCAAAATTATTTTAGAAATATTTGATGTGAAACATGACAATCTGCTATACGAATTGGAAAGTATTCACTTACATGAGGGACTAGAAAGTATACCTATATTAATGTTGTTCATTATTTTTTCTTTCAATTTCAGGGTTCACCCACCAGTATATCCAAATGAATGCAATCTTACTTCGTTTAGATGCTCTGTCTATCGTTGGCTTTCCTTGTAACCAGTTCGGCCATCAGGAACCAGCTGATAACAGCACAGAACTGTATAACGGTCTACGTTACGTCCGACCAGGCTCCGGCTACGTTCCCAGTTTTGACGTGATGAAGAAAATCGACGTAAACGGTAAAAAGGAGGCACCGCTTTATACATTTCTAAAGGTGATACTATTTTACAGATTGTGCCGCTATCGTTATCAATAACAAAAAAGCGTCGACATATTATTATTGTTATGCTCACTGCTGATATCATCTAAAAGAAGTTTTAGCGCTTTATTTCGCCGGTCAGATTCGATTGTTTGCCAAATACATTAGATTGTATATTGCTATCACCCTTTGTCATTAGCTCAATACTGGCACTATATATAATTTTAAAATGGATATGGATTGTCTATAAAGAATTGAAATGAAGAATCCTATTGATTTTCATTTTTAGATAATCACCAACAAAGTTATGTCCCTCTTTTAGTGTTACGAAATCTTGTCGGCATCATAAAAGCTCCAATTGCGATCCTATCTTTTTGGTTGTGTATCACATTGAAAGCAAGAACCCCTTTGATTTATGGTCATAACCTGGAGAGTTATTCCCATATGTTGCGAAATCTCATTAGCACTTTAGAGACGTATATTCTAATCCTGTATTGTTCTTAAAAAATTATTGAGTTGTCTATCCTATTGAAAGGAAGGAAGCCTTTTTGTTGGTTTACCACTGTCTAGCGTAGAATATGGTTGTGACGACTTACCTGCTGGTAGGCGTATGTTTTGTTGTCTGACAATCAATGTTTTATTATAAATGCATCTACGGTAGTTTTGAATACGATATTAACTAAATTAATTTGGTAGCTTGAAGTAATAATGCCTCTTTAAATCAACCTTATTTAAGAACAGCAAGAACAACGAAGTATAAAATAAACATTTCAAACTAGGTTAAAATTTAGAGCATTTTTCTAAAAAAAAAAGCATTGATAACGAAATGGTTGCCAAGAAGTTTTCAAAGCAGGCAGCTAGATATATGAGGATTTTAAAAAAGTAAAAACCAATATATGTCTCTCATGTGCCAGACACCCGCCATCACTTTTGTAGTTTAGGCGATAATTTGGAATCCACTTGGCCTCAGTTCAAGAATTTAATGATAACGTGCAGGTTAAAAAAAATAGTTCTGCTTACAAAAACATTGTATGTTCGGCATAACGACGTTATTTGTTTTCTCATGTTTGCAAAACATCCTTTATAATAAGAAATGAAATGAAATGGGGTTTAACGTCCTACTGTTTTGCTCCGAACTGGGCTAATGAAGACAGGCATACGCCATAGAGTGTGGTATGATGGAAATTTTGCCCTGACAGCGGCACTACGGCCTACTCTTATATCGAATTCCAACTGCTAAGGGATCTTTTACGTGCAGGCCGATGTGTGCACGGAACCTCGTTTTTTTGTCCCATCCGAACGACTAGACAGCTTTCCTTGTCAGCCCCTCCGCCCTGCATCACTGACAAGGGAGAACCACGCCGGAAAATCTGGATTAACTTTCTCGGCCAATGCAGGGTTCGAACACCCGACCTCCAGGCTAGCGAGCCAGCGTCTTACCCACTTAGCCACGTGATCCCCCTTTATAATAAGACACTTCGACACAACCCTATACCCAAATTAGATGTATGATCTATTTTGAATATTTCTGATTGAAATAAATGGCCCCGTATTGCCCATTGCCACTGCTTTATTTATCAACCCACAAAAATAAATTGGCTTTATGTGTTTCGTGAGCACATGATATATGATTGAAATAATGGAAACATCAAATGAAATGAGTGGGTTTTTATTATACTACATTCCATCAGAGCATAATATATCATTATCACTGACAGATTAATATCCGTTACACACTTTCTACCGCCAAATAAGAGATCAGATTATTCGCACGCGTGTAGGCTAAATAGCATAATAATGGTGAAGACGACATTCTATTTTGATACCACGATTACAACGTTGTTACATGATATTGTGATAAATCATTTTTCCTTCAATAAATTTCAAACAATCCTTGCTAGTTTTGATAATTACCTTGGATTGCCTTGCTTGCACTTTGACATAATATTAGATGGTCTTTCTCAAAGGGCCAGTCTAAGTAAAAGATATACCAACTAAAATCGTTCCCTCTTTTTGTGATTGTTTACTAAGTGAACTGCCGAATAAACGGTACGGAAATAAAATCTATGTGTTTGAGATTGCCCAATGATATTGTGATAATGGAATGTTTTGAAATTAAATATAATTTAGTAGTGTTTTAAGAGCCCAAGGATCTGAAAATTTATAGATACTGGAGTAATACAGGTCGGTAGGAACAAATTTGAATTTGTGACAGAGAAGACTGAATAAATGTAAAGATAACGTCGTGCGTGATTATTTCGCTTTTTGCTAACAATTTAAACAACTTAATAAATGTGTGGATTAGCTACCGAAACGGATGATCGACTGTATTAATTATCACTATACTTTGACGACTACATACAGTTTATGGCAATCTGTGTGGATGAATATCCCATGACTATTCACAATGTATTATAAACAATCTCAGTCCTCCCAAACTTGAGAATTAAACCCGAATGAGTCCAATGGGCCGGTTCGATGTCAGTGCTAACCCGCATGTCAGGGCCGGCGCGTTCCATATTTATATGCAGACAAGTCATCTCAGTAAAGGATATAAACCGTTTAATCCCAAATATTCTCATTTATCTCAGTCTTCGGAATTAAAGATAAATCGATCAAAATATCCCCAGTTAACTCGATACAGGCAGTTAAACGGGGCTAAATCCAATTATTCACTTTCAGTTCATTTTAGGGAAATCCAATTATTTCTCATTCATCTAAGAGTAGAGAATTTTAACTGAGCTAAATCTAAATATTTTCAAGTAATTAATCAGGATTGACTTCAAACATTCTCATTCGTCTCACTGTAGGGGGTTCAACCCGGCTTTTGGGTATACTGCCCCGTTGTGACGTGAAAACTTGAATGCAGCCAACTACTACTAGAAATTAAATTTGACTATGCATGCCTGTTAGTAATTGTAATAATCTACATTTATATATAATTTTACTTTGTTTTTCAGGAATCATGTCAGCCTCCCAGCAAGGCCTCATTTAATAAATTTGAGATGTTCTCTGACCCTATTAAGCCGCATGATATTACATGGAACTTTGAAAAGTTTCTTATTGACGACAGTGGGCGCCCTGTTTTCCGTTTCTTACCCCCAGTGGAACCAAATGACCTTGTGGATTTGATTAGAAAAATGGCGTCCGGATCAGCAACAACTGCACAATTAAAACGACAATTACTCAAAATAGACAAAATAAATAAAGACCGTGCTGCTAAAGTAGAAAAAAGAGAAGAAATAGAAGAAATAGAAGAAGAGAAAAAAGAAAATAATGCATGACTATTAGTAGCTGGAAATTTAAATATTCTATTTTTTCTGTTTTTAAATGTTATCGCCTTCGAAAATCAAAGATATTAAAATCAGGATCTGCACTTGGTTCCTATAGAAAACTGAATGTGAATTTTCGTAATATTTGCCTAAAGACAAAGATGTGTATATTGCAAATTATTCACAAGATAAATATTATTCAATTAATATTTTTTGATATTGTAAATCAAGCCAACGAATTTTCAATCTAGATCTAAGATTTTTCTAGCAACTGGGCCCAGGTCAATTTATATGATTCGGCAAAAGAATAGACCTTCATTAAAAAACAAAACAAAACAGAACAATCACTAGTTATTATACACAAGCAGGCCTAAACTCTTATCATTATCTTTGTGTTTGATAGTCATATATCCACAAATCACACTGTCAATTATTTTCTCGTTTCATATTATGATAAAACAGGACGTAAAACGGCCATCGTATTGAAATCATATCATCATCTTTATGACGTTTTTTTCATCTAAACATGTCTTATCGACCAGGGTGAAAAGCTGATAGCGACATGACGTCATAGGTTTTTGCATTCGGTCTATGGTGTCATTAGCGATGGTGATTTGGTTTAGATTTGACAAGCCGTTTTATTATCATGTTTCTAATAATAAATCTTTATTCTGTATTTAAGTTTAAAGCGTTTTCTTGTGTGTTAATATTGTTGAACAGAACTACAACCACCGTGGGGGCAGGGGCGTTTTAAGGTTTATCATGGCGGAAGCTATACTATTTTGAGGGCCCTCTTTCGCGGGGGAGGGGGGTGTCTCTGCCCCCGGCCACCTGAGGTCGAGAAATTTTGCAAACTAGAAAACATTTTGGTGCATTCTGACATATCCTCCAGTAGCAGTGTATAGACGATCGACTCGGACTCGGGGCCCCTTTCCCTTGGCCAGAGGGGCCCTTTTGTCAGACGCGGGGCCCTTTTGTCTGCCTTTAGGGCCCTCCCTAACTAGGGTACATTTTCATTTTTCTCATCGGTTTTAGCATTTTTCTCCCGTTTTATTTGTTCAATTTCTTTGATTTTTTTCGCGAGGAGGCTGGCGCCTCGAAAATAAAACGCTTTTGCGTGGGGGATAGTAATTGTGTCTGAACAGAGCTATTACTGGATCTTACACTGTTCTACTTGTGTTTATTTTTATATGCAATATTATGGTTCTGAAATGAAATGGAATGGCGTTTAACGTCCTACTTTTCTGCACCAACCGGGATAATGAAAACGGGCATACGCCATGTAATCCTATGAGGAAAATGGTGCCCGGGCGTCGGTGCGACGGCCTACTCTTATTTCAAATTCCAGCTGTCAAGGTTCCTTTTACATGCATGTCAAGATTATTATAATTATTATTGTACATTTTTATAGCGCACAATTTCCACGACTATATATAAAGGCTCACAAAAACGCCACGATTTTAAATTAAAAATGACAATTTGGCATTAAAAACAGTAAATTATCAAAAATCGGTATAATATGCATACCTTTTATTGTGATATGAGATGCAATAATTGTGGATTACAGACATATAGACCTACTAAACCTCAAGATGAAGAGACTGTTGGAACCACATTTTCGATTTTCATCGATGAAATGTAACAAGACCCTGGTGTGTAGTGACGTCACAACTTCTGTTTAGAGCCGGACTGGAACATTCCGCAGAATCCTCCCCAAATTTGCATGGCGAACGCCCTAGTTATCAGTGCAGCTATAAAACCGGAAGAAAAACACGCGGGCAAGACAAAACACGGACATTGTAAGACATAAAAGCACTATCAAATCATGTGAATGAATCTGAGGCCCGTAATCGCCCACTGTGCTATACCATTCCGGACCAGCTGTGTCACAGGTAGCACTAAATTTGCAAGTGAAAACAGGCCGCTTGTCAGAAATACCAGAATAGTTTATAACTCGTACCGTGACTATTCGATACTGTTTGTAAATTCTGAAAAAAAAGTAATTGAAACGCAGCAATAATCTTTACCTTGCAGAGATTTTACTTTCGCATTATTATAGTTTGTAAGGAATAAAAACTCCCTCAAATGACGATTATATTTTAAGTCAGGGATAGGGAAGCTGAAATCCAATTTATCGGATGGCGAACGGTTGGCTATGACTCATTTTGATGGCAATGGAATGTCTGCGATCTATAATAATGTGATGCCTCATAGTAAGGCGATATAAACAAGCCTCTCACAAGCCTATGTGGCGCCCAGGGCAAAAGTTTCAGTGACGCCCCCCCCCCTCTCCCGCATACAGGTATAGTCGGCCTCCAACTAGACTATTCCAAAAATATCCAAACTGGCCCCCTTTGAATATTTCTTGCATGCACTTAGATAATTTGCCGCCCACATGAAGTGTCGCCCCCGGCCATATGCCCCTGGATATAAACAGCCCTTTCGGATCAAAGTTTGGAAATGCCGTTGATCGAATCTGAAAGGTTGGCATATGGCTCCATGAAAATGACAATATAATCTGTTAATTGTTATTTTTGGACTCTAAAAATTGTCTGAATTTTGATTTTCTGTCTTGTTTTGATGGAAAAAAATGGATAGGGAAAAATTATATAGTAGTCTTATTCCGTCAAAATTATGTTTCAGTTACCTCCCTTTATGTACGTCTCTCTGAAAAAAGGGAGGATTTGTGTTTCATAATAAACCGGCTAAAGACATAAAAGAAAGACGAGAGCGCACAGTATTGTGCGACGAGAGCATAAAAAACGTGTATTAAAATGTCACCCATGAGATAATTAGGACGTTTTATGCCCCCAAAATTAATGTCACATTTGTTCGCAATGTTCAAAACAAGAGAACCGGTTAAAAGTAAAGTTTTTCAGTCTATGCAAAATGTTGATATTCGAGGACTTAGTTGTTGCAGTGAGACAGAACTTAGACCAGTGCTACCAAGCCTGGTACGCATGGCTCTGTGTGCACCGTTGGATATGGGTGATGAATGGACACAGGACAGAAAAGAGATTTCTAAAATACTATCAGGTTTAGAAATAGTTAACAATATTGTGACATTGTTGTCTATTGATTTTCATGCCCTTGAACAAGATGTAAAAAAGGAACAACAATTAAGGTAAATGCATAGGCCTACATCATATTTCAAGAACGTAATTGTCATATATGATAAAAAGTTCATAAAGCTGTAGCTAGTATTATCCAGAGTCCTTAACATTGCAAACATGCTTTATCGGTCTATTCAAATCAATATTGGATTTTGTTATCTTACCATGAAAATATCCAATAATTAAGACATAATCATATTCATAATGAAAGATTAGTATCCATTTCCTAGTTACTGGTACCGTACGCATTGTCTCTTATCTTATTTATTTTTCAGGTCAAAGATTGGAGGAAATCAGACTGACAGTGTTTTAATATCCAACTTACAACATGGTCTAGTTTTGGAATTTGAACGAAGTGATCCAGCTCGTAGAATTCGCCTTCTTCTTAGTGAATTATTGTTTGTTATGTCAGAGGTAAAGATTAGGGTTTCTTTTCCAAAATTTTGCCTGTTGGACATTTTGGGTGAACTGAGGCAAGAATTGGGTTTCTAGAAGTTGTTGCTTTCAGGAAATGAGGTCAATAGGTAGTGCTGGGTATCAATAGTGTTTTTTTCTATCGATAATCAAAACGACTTATTTTCACGGTCGTAATCAAGACTGGATGATGTGTTTAACGGTTTAAACCATACGATGTTGCGAGAGATGTTTTTGGTTCATCTAAAGGATTAATAATAAACTTTCTCATGTTACATATATATAATTTACGTAAATTGTTGTTTATTTTGGAAATAATCTAGCCTTGGTTTCAAATTAAGAAATACTGTTAATACATATGTGGAGGAACCAAAATAAAATGAACTCTAGTCGATTCAAAACATTGTGTACATGAACTCGACAAATACCAATATAATGGACAATCCGTTGTCGATTCGCTTGCCAATAGTAGAGAAAAATTAATAAAGAGCTTGTTATCACGAATACGTAAATTCTTTATGATTATTATTAGAATAATGTAGCCTTGGATTCCGAATGAAAAAATACAAGCATTTTGTCATCTTTGAGTGCTATTTCATTATATTGAGCAGACGAATTCTGAAAGGGGAAAAACTCTGACTTATTTACACATCTGTGTTTCTCTAATTTGGCAAATTCCACAATATGGCACTTCACCAAAAATTGTTTCAAACTCAAAGTACCGGTATTGTTTAAATGAGAGCAAATTTATATAAACATATTTTTTAAATACCACATTGATACTTTAAGGTAATTAAAGTGAGTGATGTATTATATATACGAAGGATTAACTTACAGAAACCATTGACTCACAGAAAACATTGACTCTTACGCACGATAAATAGACAAAGAGAATGATAATCGATAGTAACAAGCTACTATTGTTAGTGCTTTTCTGGCAGGTCTAATCGATACTATCGATATATATCCATATTTTACCCAGCACTACCAATAAGCTTTCATTCACTTCCATATTTACAAACGTCATCGAAAATATAGCACATCGTAATCTGAATAACATTTATGATTATCATTTTTAATTCACATAATGGCTTCATGGTGGTTAATAGGACTGACAAAGGAGAAACCATTAATTGTTTTGAGGATTAAAATGAAAAAAAGTAGTAAGTCAAGGTACATGTGACACTGTTGTTGGTTTGATCACTGGTTGTTATTAAAGACAATTGAGATTAGTAATAATTATGGGTTTACCCTGCCTCAGTACAGTCAAATTTTGAATTTTGAGAACCAAGTTCTTGTTCCATGATCACCACCTAACGTAATTGATTACCATATCTTGATGTCCAAATTAGCATATTTGCAGCCAGACTAATACCTATCTAGGTAGACATGTCTGACATATGTACAAAACAGAATCACTGGTAAAGGTACACATTGCAATACATGTATGTAACTGAGTGATTATCAATCTGATTTTAAAACACAGACCCTATTTCATTTTGTTTTTATAGTTCAAAATTTCGTTTTACTTGTCTTTACTACACTAGGATCTGGAAGAGTTGTCATCATTGACGTGTTCTGAATGGTGTGAGGTATTAGCCAATGAAACAGTCTGTTACGGCGAGCTTTAGGCGTGTTTTGCACGGAACTGTGGGTAATCCAGTAACATCAATGCCCATTGGTTAATCAAATGTCTGATGTCATAGGGTCAAAAGCCTCTCGTATGACCTCTGACGTGATCTATCGCAACAACCGGTCAGATCTTCATGTAGTGTAGGCCATCGAAAGTATAAAAAACGAAACGAAATATAGATCTGTATTTTAATCAGATTGAGTGATTATGTACATTGCACTTGATGGATATGATTCACTAAATCTGATGATTAAATACCCCCCTGGTGCTAACAATATAATGAATTCTTATCAATATATAATTGGCTGTAAAACTGTGCGCAAATAATGTCATTCTTTATAAAACTCTTCAAAAAAGTTGTAGATGGTGGATTTGGTGCCTGCCTTAATTCCTAATGAGGAAATAAATGTAAAACACTCGCTTGATGTAAAAATTAAAAATATTTCTATGATTGATAATTTCATGATTTCTGAAAACTCAAAAATGGTGAGGTTCATATACTCTACCTTTTCAAAAATTAAGAAACTATCTTATTTAGAGATATTTTTCTTTTTTTTCACATTTCAGATTAAAGATCAAAAGAACCCAAATTATCAGAAAAATTGTGAATTATTTGAGAGTGAGGTTTATTTAGAAGAAGTTTCAGACATTCTTTCTATAGCTCAAGCAGGTTGGTTGATTTTCCATTGAATCTTGTAGTAGATTTTATGCATTTTGAACATGTAACATTATAGGATATTTTACACAATTATTTTTCTATACATATATATTATATAAAACCTTTTTTTCAAATTGTATTTAATGTTGAGCACTTTTGAACTATTTTAATATTAGTTAATGAAAAAAAATATTAACAAAATGGCAACAGCTTTAGTTCTACTTGAAATGTTCAAAATTTATTATTAATAGATCAAAGCATGCGATACATGCAAAATTAGCATCACATATAAATTATGTATTTCAGAGTTACCTAACTTGTTACCATTACCAGATATTGCAGAAGCTTTGTTATCATTAAAGAATGGTTCTTGGTTAATATGTCAGCTGTTGGCCAATTCTCCGGAATCTTTTAAATCTGGTAAGTAATCAAGTATAGGTAATGAAAAGTCCCATAAGTAATTATGAAATCTATACTAATATTTGTGACTGTCGTTTGTCTGTCTGTTTGTCTGTCTGTCTGTTCGGGGTTGGCGGCTACGCTAGGTCTGCCCCGAGTCTGAAATTTGGGGTATGGGGATAGCTTGGACCGGGGAGTAACATAGGCCAGGTGGCGTTAGTCTACCACTTCCGGTTTCGGGGTTATGACCCCCGAGAGAAGCCAGGCATTCTTCTAGGAGACTATCACTTTCTGGATATTCCTGCTTGCTAAGTTGGGACTACAACAATCTTATTCCCAAATAAAACCCAAAAGGTCACAAGCCTGAGCTTGAAACCATGTCACTTTACACAAGACAGACTTTATGATCTAATATGCACATGTGTTAGCAGGGCTCACACTGTCGGTAGCCAAAGTCGCAATTTGAGATAAAAATATGAAAGTGGCAATTAAAATTTGATTTTGGCGATAATGTTTTGCGGTACTGGCGATTCTTTTTGCAAACTGGCGGAAAAAAATCTTAAAATTCGAATCGTATTTATCCTGGATTAACCATTAATTGAGTGTCAATCATGTGGCGGAATACTATAAATTAATCAACTGGCTTATAATCTGGATTGCGTCAATGAGTAATACTAATTAGTTGTCTTGGATTAATGATTATTTGATTGATAATTACCAATGATCTATATAGAGTGTATCCCAAGTCATTATTTACTCCTAATGATTAATCAAAGCGGTGATTATTTGATGTTTCGCTTCGTCTTAAAAAAATGTTAATTCATGTAATCAAAATGGCCGACAGTTCCTTTCAAAGAGAATTAAATATTTTGATACCTGAATTCGTTTACAGTGGCTTCATATACGTCATGTAAGACAAACAAGCATGCCTATCAGATATCATTATTTCAAATTATATTATCACCACTGGTTGAAAATGTAAGAATGAGTTGAATAGTGACGATTCTTGAGCGAGAAATCATTTCGCCACATGTATCCTATTACCGTCGCCAAAATGATCTAAAGGTGAACAACGGGTATAATTGTAAGCATCTCTTACAAATATAATTGAAATTTAAATCATTCTATCAGGGATTCAGATTCTGATACCTTTACGGTACCTGAAAATAACTATTGGCCTATTGTACACGCAACACATAAATTTATAGAAAATTGGCAATCCTTGAATGAGATCTAACGTGTAAATACTGGAAATATATAGTGCAGTACGGTGTTCAAATAGACTAAAGTCCCCCCCAAAATCTGATCTTATTAAATCCAAACTGTGCTAATGTATTATATACAGACAGATTTTTAAAGTTGTTGTATATTGTATTCTATATATCGTTAATTGTTTTAAAATATTTTTATATTATTTTAATATTATAAAACAATTAACGGTTTTATGTCTCAGATAGGCTTATTAATATAAGCTTAGCTGAGACATAAAATTGTTAGATGTTGTCTTTTTTATCACACATTTTTGGCAGATAAAATATTCCAGTTGGCGGAAAAAAAATATGAACATTTTTATATATAAAAATTATCATCCATTTTGGCGGAAAAAAATTGAAAGCCAGTGAGCCCTGTGTGTTAGACCTTTTGGCCATCTAGATCCCAAGTAAAAAAAGAATGACTTTAGTGTACAATACTTATTTATGTATTATTTTGTCAGTTTGTGTAAGTTTAGTAAGTCATGGTGAAAGACAAGATGAAGAAACTATTGGTGGTAGACGTAGATTACATATGTTACAAATGATGGCTGCCATGAATCCACAAGAGACATTAAATATCAGAACCCTCTGTGTAAGTGCTGGTATAGTTTTAATAAATGTAAGAATTATTTATCGATTTATATAAGGAACCATTTGGCTCATCAGTGAGATATAGTTTCTTCCAGGTTAATTCAGTTTGACATTTTGGATTATCTGTTACATGTTTATGTTCTGTTTAGTTTAGGGCTGGACAATAATTTCAATAAATCAATATATCGCGATATGTAAATTTTATTGACAATATCTTTTGACCATTAAAGATACTGCAATAATCCGTTATATTGTTTGAAGCAATCTTCCTTCCCTAATAATATTTCCCTGAAAGATTATTGTATTTTATTAAAGCATAGAATAGGCGTGACCATACAATGATTCGAATTTCTAGACTTCTCAGAGAAACTTTTTCAGGAATTCGCTGCCTTGTTTCAAATCTCCTTTGTTTTGAAGGACTATTATTTGGTAATAATGGAAATATCTTGTGGATTTTTTTTCGGAATGATAAAACTTTCAAATATCGCCCAGACCTAGTATTATTCTGCATTTTAATTGACAGTCATAGAATGTCACTAGACAGATGGTTGTTTGTCATTTGTTTAGTTGGTACATCAAATAGATTTAAAGAAGTACAGATAGATAGTCAATAATGTTGTTTTCCTATCAAAATATTCTTCCAATTACTATTGTTTATCTGAAAATAAAACCAAGTTATGATTCTAATTTTTTTTAATAGGTTGAAAACTGTACAATGCCTGGACTAGCTATTAGTCTTTCACTTAAGATTTCCACATCTGAATCCAACACTGGTTTACCAACGAGTGATGCTGTAGCATTTGTTAGTTCACTTATGTTAGGTGAAGATCATGGAACACGAACATGGTTCTCACAGTTTGTTAAAGCTGGACAAAAGGTAGATTGATGATTAAATGTCAGAATGCTCACTTCGATATTAGTTTTTTCAGTAATATATTTTGAATGGGGAACATGGCCAAAGCAAGTGCCATGATTATTAGTATTAGAATGATATATACAGTATTGTTTAGTTGAATCAGATAGTTTGAGTTGGGTCAGTATGAATATCATCTTATATGAAATGAAATGGGGTTTAACGTCCTACTGTTCTGCTCCGACTGGGCTAATGACGATGGGCATATGCCATACAGTGTTCTATGAGGGAAATTTTGCCCGTACAGTGGCGCTATGGCGTACTCTTATATCGAATTCCAACTTCCATGGGATCTTTTATGTGGACGCCAATGTTTTTCGTCCAATCCGAATAACTAGACAGCTGTCCTTGTCAGACTCTTCGTCCTGCACCGACAAAGGGAAACTATGCTAGTGAGCCAGCATCTTACTCATTTAGCCACCGTGGCTCCCTATCATATTATATTTCAAACTTTTGACTTAGATTTTTTCAAGTGAATAAGACTAAAGTTTCATTTTGTTTATTTAACTCCTAACATCACAAAAAATTTGATAATTTCATTTTTTTACTACAGAGAAAGGGAAATCCTGTTTCTTCCATGCTTCATATGTTACGCCAATATCTACTGGATCAGCTGAGATTTGTAACGCCACATTTTGGTCAGTCTATGGATAATGGTAAAGTTGTGTATTCAGTGACATTATTAAGATTATATTGTGCTTTAAAGGGAATGGCTACATTGAAGTAAGTGTTAAATGTAGAGTATATATTTTAAGGGATTATGCTAGCTGCCGTTACAAATTAGCTTTACTTTAGTACTGATTTGTAATATATATATATAAATATCAATACCATCAATTGAGTGTGGAGGGTCTGGGTGGTCTAATGTGTAGACCAGTGGTTCTCAACCTTTTTTTGCCAACGGCACACCTTGGAACACATGCAAAAATAAGGGCACACCTGGCTAAATATATATGAACTTACCAGTAAATACTGAAAAATATTTGAATTATGCAAAATAAAAACATGGGAAGTCATAGACGGCATGCAACTGTTGACACAGACTAGTTATAAACACATGGAAAGACTCAAACTATATAAAGAAAAACACAGCTATGAACCTACCAGTAGACACCAGTAAATACTCAATTAGGATCACCTGGTGTTTCGCATTTTCTTAGTGTGCCGTTCAAAATTTCGCAGCACACTTAGGAAGATCTCGCAGCACACTGGTTGAGTGGGCATTAACCCCCATTCTCTCACTCTCTCACAAACGCTTAGGCAGAATTTGCTGTTTTAAAATCATAACATTGAACAGGATTAGTGGTCGTCTTAATGTTTTTATAATGTATGTTAGCTGATCTGTATAAATATATTAATAAGTCCTACTTCCTATTTGTCTTCTTAATAGATTCAGTGATGAAGAAACAAAAGCTTTATTAGAGGTTATGACTGCCAAGCCACCTCCTACGAGTGCTGGTGCACAGTTAATATCAGTGTCATTATGTATGTTGATAGCCTCTCCTCTTCTGCTAGCACAGGGGTATGTAAAGTTATCTTTGATTTGACATCTCCGAATTGTGCACTAATTTTACAAAGTCATAGTAATTGATATTGTTTGCATCACGTTTAAATAATGGCAGCTTAATATAAATGCTATGTGTCTGTACATATTTTGTATCTAAATTTCCTTTTCTTTCAGTGGTTTCTGGCAAGGAGCAACAAATAGTTGTTCAATTGGGACAAAAAACAGGTCCCTTGTACCATTGGCATGCACGTAAAAGATTCCTTGCAGTTGGAATTCGATATAAGACTATCCCGTAGCTCGGCTGTCCGGTCATAATCTCTCTCCTCCCTCATGGCACACTGTATGGCGTATGCCCGTCTTCATTAGCCCAGTCGAGCAGAACAGTACGTTAAACCCCATTTCATTTCATTTTATTTCTCTTTCAGTGGTTTAGAATTAGAACATGAAGTAGTAGAATGGATTAAATGGCTTTTAACAGCAGAAAGTATATTTGATAAGTATGTCTATCTACACTTTCTGAACCAGAGGTTTCTACGCTGTAGATATCATATGTATTGAAACTGATATCTTGACTGATCCTAAAAGAACTAATCAGGAGTTCAGACCATGTGGGAATAGCAACAATGGAATCTGGTTTTGGACACCAATTTTAATAGTTGACTTTTTTATATGTTACAGAACAAAATCTGTTGAAAAAAATAACATTATAAAAATTAAAACGACGTGTGCATCTTTGATTTCAGTTTGCTTTTGTTTTTTTTTTTACAACAGGAATATGGGAAGCGGCAAGTCATTTGGAGAAATGTTATTTTTGATTGCTCTTCATTTCCATAGCAACCAGACAGCTGCCATTGCAGAACTTGTATGTAACACCCTAGGAATGAAGGTACTGGACCATTTTTTTCATGAATATTGTTTATGCCACAGAAACAAATCTGAATTTTTAAGGCGAGATATATTAGTGTTAAAATTTAATTAGTCTTATTATTTATATACCGTACATCATTTAGAAACTGAAACAGATTTTATTATCCTAGATTTCTCAAATAAAGTGTTCGAAAATACATTTTCACAAATTTATAGGCTACCAAAATAAGTCAAATGTGGACATTTATGATGTGCCTTCGCTATCTCCCAGTTACGCACAAAGTTGTAACGTCATCTTTGCCTCTCAGTGTGCCGTAAAAAAATACATCATGTGATCACACTTGGATCACTGAAACTGCCATGTGTGGGTAGTTATCGAAAAATAAACAAGGGATATTATATAGGGTGGTTTCATGTAATGGACCATAAACTAGTAAAATTTATAAATGTATTGATGTATTTAACAATTAGTATTTTTAAATGCTGGTTACTGGCGATAAATAAATCAAAATTGCATAAGCTGATTGCTACATTTTGCTCATAGTTATTTTTTTAATATAATATTTTTTCCAGAGTCCAGTTAAAGCCAATGCTCTTTCAAGAATTCGACAAATTTTTACTCAAGAAATATTTACAGAACAGGTCAGGATGAGTTCATTCTTTTGATCTAGTTACAGATACCACTATTTAAATCAAAAAAAAAAACAGCAATTTTTTTTTATTTCATAAGAAAATGACCCTTTCTTTGCTTTCTTAGGGGGAGCTGTGGGGCTAAGAAAGTTCTTCAGGATTTTCCAATGTGGTTTCCCCTTGTCAGTGATGCAAATAGGGAGGCCTGGCAAGGACCATGTTTAGTTGTTCTGGTGGGACGACAAAACAAGGTTATGTGTGCTTTTTGAAGATTGGAATTCGAAAATTTCGCTCAAAGCAAACTATGTAGCTTATGTCTGTTTTCATTATCCCAGTCGGAGCAGAAAAGTAAGGGTATTAAAACCCACTTCATTTCTTTCTTACGATATTACATTCTAGCAATTAAAAAACTCTTGGAACTTGCTGTTTTCCATCGCCTGTGGATTAAGGAATTTATTTATTGCTCTATCATATAAATATGGTATTTTATTATGTTACAGGTTATAGCATCTCATGCTGTCAGTATACCAGTTACTGAAGGTTTGAATGCCAATATGGTGGGTTATTTACCAATACATATTATATTTCAACTATTAAAAAGTCGAGTTTTCTCCAAACATAAAGTTCCCATAAAGGTGAGTTCACAATGTACAATTTTGAACATATATCATGGGTAAATATCCCAGTTTGGAAACAAATTGCACAAATTTTGACAAATTTTCAATTCATCGTATCTAGTTTGAAATACACAATAACCATACCAAACTTATAAAGTTATTTTTCTTCATTTTCAGGATTGGATTTATAGACAAATGTGTAGTAGTTGTCTGCCCTTACACCCACTTCTACCTCCGTTAATAGACTCGTACGTTAATTCTATTATTGTTAAAGGAATTAAAACGGACAATTTAAATCAACCAATAACAGAACAGGAGATATTAGAAGTGTTTGAAGCACCACCTAATAGAAAAGATATTAGTGGTCGTCAATCACCGACTATAATATTGTCAGAGAAGAAAGACGTAGGCTGTCAAATATTAGTCTTATATTATTTATTATTGTATGAAGATACGTTGTTAAATAATATGAAATCTTTAGGTAAGTATTGACACTTTCCTTCTTAGTTTGTCTATTGAACTCACTAATAATAATGAACTTGTATAAACTTGTATATGCCCACTTAATTTGGATGTATATTGTCATCACCAGCATCCAAACATAACCACTTTACAGGACAGATTTCTGTATGTCTTTTTTTCTTTTTATTTAGAATTTTTTGATCACAAATCAGGGAGTTAGTTATCCCTTGTTTAAGTTAATGAAATCTTGGGAGAGTTTAAGTCAGAGTCATTGATAGAATTTATTGTAAAAAAAATAATTGATTTTCAAATGGATTTTGCAGTGTTTTCTTTCTAGTCATATTTTAACTTTTAAGATTTGTGAACGCAATACATGACAAATTTCTTGATCGAATCTTTTGAAACTTGTGTGGTTTGTTTACTTGTGGAGAGTTATTCACCCATTTATGTTCCAATTAATAAAATCTTGTGATCATAACCATTCATGAACATGGTGTGAATTCGACGCAAAACTGCCGATGATGCATATCAATATGTGTCAGTGTGTGCCATGGGAATCCACTGCAAGCGGCAGACATAATCAACGCGCGAACAATAACCTATGCGTAAGCAAATAGTGCCATTGTGTCTCAAATTTTCAATTATTTTTGGCATCGCATTACGTAGATGATGCATAACTTAGTTGTGCACAATGCGTGAACAGGGCGCAAACACAGCTAACACCAAAATGGCACGCCTTGCCACGACACATTGCGCAACATTGTGGTGACACAAATTGTGCAAGTGACAGGGTGGCATTAGCATGCATGACATTGCTGGTGGTGGGGTTTATTAAGGAGTCTGTCAATCAATAATTATGTATTTAGCACACCAAAATATAGCTTTAAAGGTACAAATTCGTAGTTGACTCTTAAATATGAAGTGGAAATGTTGCTGTTGAATGATTAACTAGAATATCATGGGTTCACATTTAATTCCAAACTTGTCTAGAGAAAAATGCATGATAAATTTGAGATGATTTTGAATTCTTTATATTTTCAGTGTTAAGTCAACGTAAAATGTCAAGTTACAGTGAATCTATCATGTCTATAATACCAATCAACTATCTAGTACAAGAAGCTCAGTTAAAACAACAACAGTGTGCGGGTATCTTCCCAGCTCTTATCAAGTAAATATAGCTTGTCTCATACTTTTCATCATACAGGTCATCCATGTTTACTCATACTTTTCAGATACATTTCTCCATTTCCCATAGGCACAGGTCACAGAACTTGGATGGTGCAAATTTATTGATTTTATCTAAATGTATATACTGATTGAAATATTTCAATTAGTTTGGCATTATAGTACCAATGCTTATTATATTATATTTAAATGAAATGAAATGTTGTTTAATGGATCATGAACATCAATGAAAACAAATGTCATAGACTAGTAAATTGAAAACAGATAGGGCTTGATAAGGTCAGATTTAAAGGGAAAGGCCTCAACATTTCTTGTAATCCATGCATTCAGTGTAACTTTGGAGTAGGGGATTCTTATTCTACACCCACATATTAGATACCTTATGTTTTATATATTGTGGTTAGTTCCTCAACTAATGTTTGGGAGATCCTTATTTCTAAGGCATAATTTAAAAAGGAAACAAACTTAAAAGTACATACATTTAGTTAGGTCCTACATTAGGAAGCATTAGTTTTGAAGCATGTATAAGTGAATGGTCATCTGTCAACCTGCTGATGATTTGTAGATAGTCAGCATGTATTTGACAGATGATTGATAAATCATGTATAAAACAATGTACATTTCATGAAGAATGTGGTTATTAAAGTATTTCCACTGAAAACACAAATGTGGAGAATATTGTATATCGTTTTAAGACCTTTTGTTCATTAAGTAAATGAATATTTTTTTCAGGTTGCTAGCTAGTCATTTTCCACATCTGTGTCTGGTTGAGGATTGGTTGAGTGATAGTTTAGTATCAACCAATCAGATCAAGAGAATTCACACAGTGACACAAATACAAACCGTAACACCAGAATCCATTCAACATGGTATGACCTAGAAATTGTGTATTAAACTTTCAAAAATAAATACAGTGTAGCAATTTAATATAGTTTATGAATCAAATTCAACATTGCATAAAACTAAAATTGGATGATTCAAATCTTAATATATCAGCTTATTTTGGGTTCTTGGCAATTGGAATGCAATTGCTACATTTACCCAGGAAAAATCTTTTTTCAATAAATAAGAAACTGTTTCTTTTTTCTAAAAAAATGAAAAGTGACTTGGAAGCGTACCCCACTTAATGTATCACATCTGATTGATTGTTCTTATCGATTTGCATTTACAGAAATCTAAGATATATTATTCAAAAAAAGTAGGGGATATTTGATTTTTAAGTGTTATTAAAGTCACCTAATGAAACTGACGAAGAAACAAATGACAAAATGAAATGATGCTCACATTCATCGATTTATTCCAAATGATCGTTAGACTAAGTAAGGCACAGACTGACCATTATAAGGGTAAAATGATACCCGGGGTCAAACAGCAAAGTTACCACAGCATCACAACCAAGTCAGTAACGGGTAAATCCTCCTCTGTTTGCCAAACAAGCATTGATCCGACGTGGCATACTCCTAATGAGACGTCTAAGGTCATTTTGGTCCAGATTGTCCCATTCCTGTTGCAACGCAGCAGCAAGTTCTTGGACATTGGCAGGATGTTGTTGACGTTGACGTAACCTCTGTCCAAGCATGTCCCAGACATGCTCGATGGGGGAGAGGTCGGGACTCAGTGCTGGCCAAGGTAATGTGGTGATGTTCTGTTGTTGGAGGTAACCTGTAACGATCCTGGCCTTGTGACATCTTGTGTTGTCATCCTGGAAGATGAAACGGCGGCCATGACGTCGTGCGAACGGCACAACATGGACTGCCAAGATGTTGTCCCGGTAGTACTGGCCTGTAACACGCCCTGCAACAATATGTAAAGCCGTTCTTCCAGCAACAGTGATGCCTCCCCACACCATAACAGAACCACCCCCAAATCGATCATGTCTGATGACGTTAACGTCTTGGAAGCGCTCGTTTCGACGACGCCACACCCTCCTACGTCTGTCCAAAAAATCAACAGTGAACCTTGACTCATCTGAAAACATCACATTGCTCCAGCGTCGATTATCCCAGTGTTGACAATCCCTACACCAACACCGTCTTGCCTGAATGTGATGATCTCTCAAACAAGGGATCACGTGAGGACGTCGGGCGCGAAGGTGACCCCTATGCAGTCGATTCCGAATCGTCTGGCCACTCACTCTCACACCAGTGTCTGTTTGAAGACGAGCGCTGATCTGATTTGCTGTGATGACACGATTTCTTAAGGCCAAGGTACGGATAAATCGATCCTGGGCTTGAGTTGTCGCCCTTGGTCGACCTGAGCGTGGTCTGTCCTGTACAGATTGTGTATCACGGTATCTGGACCATAGCCTGCTTATGACAGACTGAGAAACATTCATCGTCCGCGCCACAACCGCCTGTGTTGTGCCGATCTGTAGCATGCCAAGGGCACGTAACCTTTCATTTTGGGTAAGCCGACGCATATCAAAATTTGTTTTCTGGTCACTATAACAATTAAACTGATGTTTCCACCCTGGAATTCAATGCCACAATGACTGTAACAGTCAAAGTCAGAGTTGTGCAAATCTTGGGTTGGACCCCCATGATGATCCCAAGCATCACCTGCATTCCATGCGGTAGCTATTGGTGCGTTTGGGCGTCACATGTAACTGGAAATGTTTCTTCTGTTAGGTTCTATAGTGACTTTTTTCGTAGTCATTTGCATATTTTAGTATTATGCCCCCAAAATCAAATATCCCCTACTTTGTTTGAATAGTATATTTGGTAACTTTGTGATATGTTCTACTAATCTACAATTATTGTTTTCAACTGTATCTGTTTTATTTTTCAGCTGTATCTCAACTACCAGGTACACCCAGTTTATTAATACTACAACTACAAGAGTTACTGGCCCTTCCACCTGCTAAAGTATTACCTTTCGCTCAGGTTATTGTAGGAAATCTGAGTACTATGTTGTTAGAGACTACACCACGTAGAGTAGTTGAATTAGTCAAAAGAGTCTGGTTTAAAATCCACCAAATTTCACCAAGAAGGTATGCCTTTTTAATCTCCACAACTTTATTTTATATCATAGAATTAAATAGTTTGTTTAAATAAAGGTGCTTACTATTTAAACTTCAATGACAAATCGCTGGCTTAAAATACAGACATTGATTGGAAAAATAATTACTGTTCCTTGAGTACTTTGAAAAAGCTTATGGACACCGTGGAGGCTAAATTTATCATCTTATTGACATGACATTTATTAACAGTGTTTCTGTTTAACAGACGCCTTCCAATCACTCAAACAGCTTATAAATCTGATTATGGGTACATGTTTCGGTTATGTCAGCACTAGGAAGAATTAGAAGCTTCTAAGATTTTAATTATTTCTGATAATTACTTCATGGGTTTTTGCCCTTGATCAGTTTTAAGTGTCTTGTAAATGCTGCCATTACTTAAAAAAGAATAAAATTCTGACAGCCTTTATGGACTACTTGCACGACTTAGCTGCTGTGGCTGTATGTTACATTGCCTGACAATCTATCTTTTATTTAAGCTTAAGATTATCAACTATCAACAATTTACAAGAAAGTAATGAGACAGCAAAACCAGCACCATATACTGAACATGATGTTATAGTTGATCCTCTAGTTGTATTGCGCTGTGATGAAAGAGTATTTAGATGTCCACCATTATTAGAAATAGTGCTCAGAACTTTAGATGCTTACACGCATGCCTGCAGGACATATCTCTCCAATCACATTCAAGCTTACCCAGTTATAGAAAATGCTGTCCAATCAGAACATGAACGAAGAGATTTAAGAAATGCTTTAATTGAAGCGCAAGAGAGTGCTATGTTACAGATATTATTGGAGAGTTGTCTCCCATCATCAGCAGAACAGGTGAGTCAAATGACATCATTCTTGCCTGTGATGCTCCATTCAGAGTCACAAATTATAACTTGACAGAATTGTGTGACAAAGATTTGGATTAACAGATGACAACATCGAAAAAAGCAAATATCAGATTTTGGCTCCTGGTGTCATTCTTACTTGACTTTCAGTGTTCATGAATTCCAGAAGATTCAATCAAGCATATTGTCCATCAAAACTGTCTTAAAGATATTGTTTTGACTTGTAAGGTATATGTCAGGGTCATTGTAGCAAATAATTATAATCAAGCTATGAAAAGTGTTAGAGCTAGCATGAAATAAGAATAATGGGCCTTTTCTGTCAAAATTACAGGGGATGGAATGTATAAGGATAGATAATTCATATTGATTCATCAAGTAATATAAACATTAGAAGAAACTATCATGATTTTGTGATATTTATATTTAAGGAAATTGCTGGTAAATTGAGCAACATAAGAGAAATACAGTGTCTAGTCTGTCAATATTTACATCAAGCTTTTATAGCTGATCCTAACCTCGCTAAACTCGTACATTTTCAGGTAAGAAAAATAACAAACTTTTATTTCCTAGTTAACTTTTTGCTCAGTTAGCACTTTTGAGGTGTTCAGTATATAAACTGGGTTAGTAGCCTTTTTTTTCATGTACATTGGCATTACTATGTGTAATACTAAATTTGTTCCTGGCTCATTTGATAGTTGTATCTGAAATGGGTTTTTTTTCTAGGGTTATCCAGCAGAGTTAATTCCCCTGGCTGTTTCTGGTATCCCTTCCATGCACATATGTTTAGATTTTATACCAGAACTTTTTGCACAACCGCAGACTGAAAAACAGGTAAACAATTTTAATATTCTTATGTCATATATTGTAAAGTGGTCTTTAATAAGAATGCTCTAACTATAAACTAAAGTTAAAAATGCAAGGTATGACTTCAGTAATGAAATGGGAAATAACGTCCTACTTTTCTGCACCAACCGGGATAACGGGCATACAGTGTACTATGAGGGAAATTTTGCCTGGACAGCAACATTACGGCATATTCTTATTTCAAATTCCAACTGTCAAGGGTTCTTCTATTTGCACGCCAATCTATACACGGGATCTTGGTTTTCTAACCCATCCAAACAACTAGACACTGTTCCTTGTCAAGCCCCCTGTCCTGCACTACTGACAAAGGGAACACCACGCCGGAAAATGCAGAGGAACTTTCTCTGCCAACACTACGATCGAATCGGAGATCTCCTTTTTTCGAGCCAGCGTCTTACTCTATGAGTGTCCGTGGCTCCCTTTAGTAATTAGTTTGAACCGGTCTCTATAACTTGGAAAGAACAAGGATAGTTACATCTATTGAGATTTATTTTTATAAGTCCACATTGTGGACATCTATTGTTGTCGCCTCTGTCCATCCATCCACAACTTTGGGGGTTGGATGGCCGAATGGTTAGCATGTGCGCGCTGTATCATAAGGCCTGTCATTGAGTCAACTGGCGTGGTTTCGAATCCTCGGTTGTACGTGACAAAGAGTAGGGTTGCCTGTCCAACCTCTTGGGTTTTGTCGGGGTCCTCCGGTTTCCTCCCACTGCTTTAGACACCTACGCGCAAGCAAATTATTGAAATAAAATTAAAAACCATATGTTAGTCCTGAAATGACCTAGTTTGTGTCGAGTGGACGTTAAACCCCATTTCCCTCTCTCTCTCTCTCGTCCACAATTTGTTTGTGGACACTCTACAGGTCACAATTTTTGTCCAATTTTGATGAAACTTAAAACATATGTTAATATCCCAAAGATCTGGGTTCATTTTGATATTTGCGCGTATCATACCCTGGATTATGGTCCCTTATTGTACAAAAAACCCCACTTATTTTTATCTCATTATCTGCCGATCTTTTGCAACCGCTTGTTTTATAACATATTTATATTTCAGATATTTGGTATTCAGCTTTTATCCCAGTTATGTAAACAGTATGCCTTACCGAAATCACTTGGTGTAGCCAAGTTAGCTATAAATATTATGTTCTCTCTATTAACAGGTATGTAGTTTATTATATACAGTGCACTCTGTCACATCTGACCTCTGATCACTCTGGCACTCTGTTACATCCGACACCATTTTCATGTCCCGATTTATTTCCTTATTACTTCAGCCAAAAAATCTCTAGGTAATTCGACCTCTGTACGTTTCGGATTATGACATCAATCAGCCGTCCCGTCATACGATTTCCAATGAATCGACACCCTATAATCCGGCCTTCAATCGGTGGGTGTGAAGCAAACACTTGCCGATCAATTATCCGTGGGTTTGAAGCCACAAAAGATTAACAAGCAATCACCAATCAATTATCTGTGAGATTAAAACTCGCTACCGTGGGTCTTTGTTGATTACTTTGATAATTTTAATCTCTTGTGTGACAGTTGTGACAAATACCCAAGACTATCCAAGAATTTTCCCCCGAATTCACAGTCGTAAAAATATTCCTAGCACCTGTTGGAAACATTTGTTGCGCATGCCGATTGAGCCTGAATAACCTATAAGTTTTGTCACCTTACGGATCTCTTCGAACCGTGTGACGATTGTCATTATTTTTGGGATTTAGAGAATTCAATTCCGGAACGTTCAATCGAGTACGCCCATTATCAATGAACACGTGATAGCAAAGACAAGACTGCGATCAACTGAAGACGGCGAAGAAGATAAATTAACGACAGATTTGACCTATTCAAAATTCCTACGCATGTTAAATGAAATAAAAATTAATGTAATAAAATTTTGAATGTACGGAAAGGTTTATCATTTTTAAAGGGAATGACATTCTGGTGATTCGAAGTTCTATGTTCGAAGCTACATTATAATAATACTTCCGGTTTTGAGAAAACTGGGTATTCATACACTCTGCGTACTCCGACATATTGTAACGATCCCATACGATGTCGGATGTGACAGAGTGCACTGTATTAGACGTTAATGCACACCCTAACTCTTGAATAGAATTACTGCAAATCTAAAAGAGCAGTCTTAGTGTAATCCTTGTAATTAAAATGGATGTAAAATCTTACATATAGTCTAATATGGACATGATCTATTTAAACATTTCTTACACAAATTTCCTTCTACAGAATGCTAATTTAATTTATACATTTACTAGTACTACAATACTAGCAGGATACCCGGCTTCGCTCGGGGGTCATAACTCCGAAACCGGAAGTGGTAGACTAACGCCACCTGGCCTATGTTACTCCCCAGTCCGAGCTACCCCTATACCCCAAATTTCAGACTCGGGGCAGACCTAGTGTAGCCGCCAACCCCGAACAAACAGACAGACAGACAAACAGACAGACAAACGACAGTCACAAATATTAGTATAGATATGTGTGATTAGATGTGATGAACATGTTAACTACAACTGATTCCTTATGAAAATAATTCTTTGGTTAAACAGTACATTTGGGTCCCTTCAAATTTTTTATCAAAGTCATAAAATTTTCTTTGTTTTTTTTCAAAAGTTTTAATTCTTAAAATGAAGATAGCTGCTAAATTTGACAGAGGGGTTTACTTTAACCTTACTTTTAGCAATTGGAAATGACTGGTCTCTGAAAGTTTCGCAAAACAAGACTTAACTGTATTTTATATTCTGACTGATACATAATAAAATGAATATTCACAATACAATACATTCATAAATTCATCTCTATGGCAGTGCGTATTGAGGTTCCAACTAGTGAAGGATATTTTGTAACAATACTTTTTATTTTCTATTTAGTTCTAGAAACAGAAGAAAGAATCCATTTTTATCTTCAAACTGTTCCTTGTTTAATTGACATGTGTGAGTCATTTCCTCCATTGTGTGATGATGTCACATCTTTACTAACACAGATTGGTCGAGTTTGTTTCTCTCAACTCTCAGTCACCAGTAATCTCATGTTGTCCGGTAAGTAAACAAAGAGTATTGTAATTTTATAGTTTTTCATCTGACTGTATAGAGAAGCTTAATCATCAAAAATCTTTGACATTGAAAACACAAATTATTTGTAAGGCTGTGCAAAAATATCGATATAATCGATAATCGGTAGAAGTTATTTAGCGATACGATAATCGATATTGAAATTCAAATATCGATTATCGGTATATTTACCTTCTGACGGCAAGTTACGGTCACTTTCACATGACTGAACTTGCCGTAGTCTGGCATGCAGACGAATGAACGAATACACAACGTCAACACAACAACTATTTTCCCCTTCTGCTTACAAACTGGCACATTTTAAATATATATTATTGTAAAAAAACTAAACTTTAAGATTAAATACATTATTTTAATATTTTCGTTGTTTTTGTTGTTATTACTAGTTGAAACTAAAATAGGTCACGCACTTTGTGAACAATGACGATCGCACGTGATATAGTAAAATTAGAATTATCTCCCTTCGTTGCTCTTGATTGATTTGTAGAGAAATTGTCTGCTTTCACGATAAAACTAATTGTATTATTAATGATCAACTCCGCTTTTATTACTAAATCATGTCAGATACAGCCCATACAAAACACGTTTTTGACTTCCCGGGAAAATATCTATATCTCTCGTAATTTCTTGGAAGAATTCTACTTTGGTTTTCGTCAAAATTAACCAATCATAAATTTTTTTTTACGTACATCGGCACAGTATTAGACTAGGATAATAACACTACTGTAACTCGATCAACACAAATAACAGGTCGGTAAAGTTCGTTTTTTCCGGAAGAGTGATTGATAATCGATTATTATCGATAATCGCTGACAAATTCTTGCCGATAATCGATATTGAAATTTCATATCGATTCCCAGCCTTAATTATTTGTCAATTCAAATCAACATTGGTCTTGTGATCTTACAGGGAAAAGATGGGCGTCTGATATCCAATATTCAAGACAAAATAAACATTTTACCATTGGTACACGAATCGTGTACCATAATGCGTTTGAAACAAGGGACTCAAAGAAAGAGGCTAGAGTCATATTCCAAGTCATGTCAAATGGTGACACTATTCTTATCTGGAGAGCATGCACAATAAGTAACAGACGCTAAAGATTGCCATTCAGTTAAGACTTCTGGCATATTTTGCAGAACATAATTACATTATTATATGCATTGCGACCAATTTGTGTCAATTTCTGGAAGTATTAGCGATTCAGCTCCGTTAAGACATAGTACTGTGATTTTCTTACCTTATCTGACAGGTAAAGGCTTCCATTACCTACAAAAGAATAAATATGTGACAACCCTTGTCGACCGCTCTGACGATTTAGCTGCTGTTGGCGTATGTTTCGTTGCCTGGGAACCTATCTTTTAGCTTGTTCTCTGTCCATCTCTTGCAAAATGTGGGCATATCTTGCATGACAACCGCTGGTTGATAATTTTTAAACAGATTATGATTTTCAGTTTGGCTCAATCTGTTTTGGTATTTTTATTCATAATTTTTTTTATTACAGAATCCTATATAAAACTGGATACAGAAGACTCTTTGAAAAGCCTAGAATCTCCAGAAAAGAAAGTTAAATCAGTGAATAGTGACATGAAAAGACGTTATTGGCAACTTTTTGAAACTGTTCAAAGATCATTTACTTTAGTAACTGGCAAAGCAACTATTTCTAAAGAGATGTATTAATATGATCTATTAATTTGTGCTACATCATAAAAGTGCTTATTTTGGTCGAAAGCCTTTTTTTTATACACCCACATTTTCATGTGGACGTATATTGTCATCGCCCCGTCCGCCCGTCAACAATTCTTTGTGAACACTCTACAGGTCACAATTTTTATCTGATTTCAATGAAACTTGAAATATAGGTTTATCACCCTAAGATCTTGGATCCTTTCGATATTGGCATGTATCGGACTGTAACTTCATGGATTACGACCCCTGAATTGTACATAAAATCACGTTTTTAGCTTGTGAACACTGTAGAGGTCACAATTTTTATTCGATTTGGCTTAAACTTGAAATATATGTTTATAACCCACAGATCTTGGTTCCTTTCGATATTCACGCATATCGGATCATAACTTCCTGAATTATGGCCCATGATTGTACAGAAAATCGCGTTTTTTGCTTATGAACCCTATAGAGGTCACAATTTTTATCCGATTTAAAAAAACGTTTGAATATATCAGCATTACACACTAAGATCTTGGTTCCTTTTGATAATTGCGGATACCCGAACTTAACTTCCTGGATGATGCTGATTGTTTGAAAAATTGCATTTATAGCTTGTGGATTCTGTAGAGGTCACAATTTTTTCTGATTTTAAAAACCGTTTAAATACATCACCATTCCACCATAATGAAGGTTGAATATGAATTTCGGGTAAATTGAAATGAAACTGCACGACAAAATGGCCGCTCTTTGTACGCAAATTGTGTAGAAGTGTGTAATACGAAGGTTATGGACCCTCTAAACGTCACAGTTTTTATCTGATTTGGATGAAACTTAAAACATATCTTTGTATCCCAAAGATCTCAGTCCCTTTTGATATTTGCACATTTCAGGCCATAACTTTCTGGATTATTGCCCCCGATTGTACAAAAAATCTTGTTTGTTTTTAGCTTGTTCTCTATTCATCTCTTGCAAAATGTGGGCGTATCCTGCCTGGCAGCCGCTGGTTAATGATCCGACTTACATGTATATTTCTGTATATATTACAAGAAATGATTTGTCTATAGTGTCAATTGTATAAAACTCATCTCAACAATTTCTGTTGGTATCATTTAAGGGTTATGTCCATCGGACATTGAGTTAACAATTCAAAATTTGATTGTTTTGTGTTACCTTGGATCTTAAATTGTCAAAACAGTTATTTATTCAATTTAGCTTACAGTCTTTATAGTTGACTACTGCACGAATTCTGCACTCCTGGAAATAGAATTGTTTTTCATTGCCATTTACTTTAATGTAGTAGTAGTATCTTGGTTTTTTAACATCTGCTTCCACAGACATGTAAGTGATATCGCTAAAATGCTAAAAGTATGGCTTCTTAGTGTGTTTGAAGTTGTATTTGTGTTAGACAGTGACTATTAGACTGTGGATTGTGTAACAATATATGGAATATTAAATATCTCATGACCGTATCATGTCATTTGTTTATGGAGTCATTCCATGTCAAATGGGTCAATTTTCAGAAATTTGGGAAATCGACCCCCTCGAAAAAAAATGTTATTGTACATGTAAAAACTTGAAACTGTGCAAAATTTGTGGCCTGTAGCTTGAAAATTGACTGAGATACAGGCATTTGAGTTTCATGCTCATCTACCAGGGTCCATTGGCTCAAATATACAAGGCAATTTTCGAAAAATTTGTGTCTGAAACCATATTCAAGGCCAATTTTCTGGGAATCTAGTGAAGACTGATGCATTTTCATGTTTCTTATGTAGTGCTACCGGCAATCTCTGGAAAGGCCAAAATTTGGGTCTATATCTATTACTTTTTAGCTCCTGGAGCACTACAAAATCCAGAAAATATACATTTACAACAATTTTTTTTTTCGTTTTTTTCTCGCCAAGTAGCATGCGAACCCTACCACTCACCTGTAATCTGATTGCAGATTCATAATCTACACAAAACATTCTTTCAGACTACCAAATTTGAGCTGTGTATCTTCACTAGAAAGGTAAAAATAAGATGTCTGAAACTCAAGTAAATCATTGATACATATTCTGTTGCAAAAACTTATCGGTAACAGCTGAAACTCAAATGCCTGTATCTCTGTGAAATTTTCAAGCTACAGGCCACAAATTTTGCACAGTTCCTAGTTTTTACATGTACAATAACATATATTTTTTCCCACCCCTGGCCCACTTGACATGGAATGACTCTGTAGAAAGATTCCAAAGTCTTCATATTCTTTGATCATGCATTTAAAAAACCAAAACAAAAAAACCCACAGATCCTAGCTTGTTACATTTCAATTTGGATCTGGCGTTTATCTGAAAGGATTTGTTTGGTCAGTTTATCTACATGTACATTAATGTCAGTTATTATTTAGTATAAAACTAATAATTACATTGAAGTAAATGTTATCTTGTCCATGATCACCTAAATCAAAACACAGTCCAGATTGCTGATTGAAGGAATCCAGTATACATGTAGCCTACTTTGTTTTAACCATTTTACATATTGTTTTGTATATCATGTAATAATATTTATTTTTACATGAATTATACTTTTTGTTATCAATTTCTTGGACTTTGTTTTCCTTCAAGTAGGCACTTAAGTACAGGCCGGGTCAGTTGGCAACTTGATCTAACTATCATTTAACATGTGCAATTTAAATCATATGGTCTTTCTTAGACTCAGATGAAGTGCTTTTGATCCCAGGCATATTCACCGAGTGGGGTTGCCTTTCTGATCTTGTGGGTTTTCTCTGGGTCCCCCAGTTCCCTTCCACTGCTCAAGCCCCCTCCATACTGTACATGCAAGCAAAATGTTGAATAGAAGCTGAACATCATTTTATCTCCCTCTAAAATGGAATTCCATAAATTGAGTTACGAAAGTCTGTTGAGCAAAATTGGTGATCACTTCCGAACGGCTTCATCGTAGAGTACCCTGAAAATAATCACCATTGCTATGTAATCTAGGAAATTAATGGCCATCATTGATTACCGTTCCTCTGATTGCTTTAAAGGGAGTTTTGATGATTCACTCTTTTTTTGTCATTTTACGCTACAGAAATGAGTAATGACAATTGACATGAAGATATGGTGGCTTAACAAGGGAAATTACTCTAGTTACAGTTTTTTCAGACCATGAATTTGTTGGGTTGGTTTTTTTTATCAATTTTAAATGGCACACCAGGTTCTTATGATTACAATGGCAAAATTTTCAGTATTTCCAAAACTTAGTTGAAGACAGAAGGATGTGCATAAGACAATAACATGCCCAGAAAAAAAGATATATTATCAAATCAGAAAGAAAAAATAAAACTACTAACAATTTTTTATAGATATTTTTTTTTTTGGGTTTCACAAATATTTATCATTACAAATATTTATGTTTGAATATATATAAGCTTATATATACATATATTACAAAGTTCAGTGGTAGCCACTGGTAGGCCTACACAATTTGAGCATGTTTCTAATGTACCAGTTTATGTATTTTCAAGATTTTTCCCAGTCTTTGTTTAGCAGTTGTTGTGCCTTTCTTGGGTTTCTTACTTTTAGGTGGACTGCCTGGTTCATTTGATACAACCTTACGAATACCAGGTCGGAAGGCACTGCCAGATTCTGATATAATGAGAGCTTGGGGCTCACTTTCAGTGGACCATCGTTCTTTTGACTTTATCGTCTCAGATTTGAATGGTTCCTTAGTTGTTGGAACAGTAGTTTCGGCTAATTTTTTGGCAGTGGCAGCTAAACTACATTCAATGGCTTCTTTCTTTACACCAACTCGCACTGGACGGATAGGATTGGCAACAGTCACATTAACACGCGCTTTAGGATTCCAAGTTATGTCTCTTTTATTTTTCTTTGCATTATACACATATGATTCCTCTTCATCAGATACATCCAACGATGGATACACAAATTCACTATCTCTATAGCAGTCAGCCATAAGTTTTTCTTCTTCATCGCTGTCCCCCAGGTTTTCTCGAGATCGTTGAGGCCTTCTATTTTGTGTAACTATTTCAAGATTACCAGAACTCTCCTGACTCATTGAGAGCATACCCTGAATAGCATCTCTCATCATACTAGGTTGAGCAGCTCCTTTTGATCCTGGTTCTATTTTTACATCTGTTTCTGCTCCATACCCACTAGCTTCTAATATATCTGCTATGCTGCCATTTAATCCACCACGTATTGTTGGGATGTTCAAACGCTGAGATAATTCTTCACTTCTCTCAGATTCACTTAGTGTGACTTCCGTATCTAAGCTTTGTGAAGTTTTTGGCTTATAAGATAACTTAAGTTTTAATGAGCCGTGTTTTTCTGTGGAGGATGGATTAATTTTTGAAGCTGTTTTCTTTGTCGCACCTTTTTTCCTCTTCTTTGGCGGGGGGATGTCATCTTCAACTGGGTTAGCTTCTTCAAAATCACTCACAGTAACTTTGCTTTCAAATCGACTAAAGGCACCTTTGCTTTTACTAACCCCAGTGATTTTGTCTGTCATTTTCTGAGAAGGGTCAAGCTCAATGTCCTTACTGTCAACATAAGCACCAGCTTTTGGAAGTCTAACTTTTAAAATTGCATTTGCTGGTTCTTCATCTTCATGGAAGTTATAAATTGATTTATCATAGCCTTTAACTACTTGTTTCAATGTATCTGTTGTGTGTTGGTGGAGGATGTCCAGATTTATCATTTGTTTTGTCTGTTCTTCCTTCACCTTTCGTTTTCTTTTCTTTTTCGTTTTCTTCTGACTCGACTTTTTATCGCCATTTTCATCAGTATAATCCTTTGCCTTTTGATTTTTTTTCTTTTTGCTCTTTTTAAACCTAAACACTAAAGGTCCGTGCGTTTTTTCACAACTTGGACAATGAAAGATTTCAATGTCTGGAGCTTGAACTTCTTGAATACCAACACAGCTGCCATGAAACCAGTCTTTGCAAACTTCACATTCAATCATAAAACGCGTTTCGTCATAAGGCGAACGGCACGAACAATAGAGTTCTTCTTCCAATGAATCGGATGCCATTTTTCAGTTTATACACAACTTTGCTCGTTGCAAATGTCCAGTCTACGAACCAACCCAGAAAATTAACAATATTTGATAAAAAGTTAGTCACAAAAGAGAAACAACAAGTGACATGTCCGCCATGTTTTGTCTCTTCGCTTATCCAGACACTCTCTAGTCTGCGAACAAAGGCCTCGCTCTCGTGTGCTGTGCTTCGCAGACATGCGCTAAATAAACTTGAACGATCGGAAATCTTCGGTTATAATCAAACTAGGTCAGTCAATATTGTCTATTTTTTAGGGCTCACACTTTTTGTTTTTGATCCAAGCATGGACCTAATTGTAAAAGAAAGATTTCACCTGCATTTGATTCAAGAATAACCCCATAATTACATTATTAAAAATCTCAATAACCCTAATTAGGGGAAGAGGGTCAGAATTTTATTTTGTATCCAGAAACTCGCGCTTGGAATGCCCATCCTCCCACCTTCTGACGATGAAGGTTAGAACGCACCATCGTAACACTTTTCTCATAAAAAGACTTGTTTTACAATTTTTTTATGTAGATGACAGCATACAATACAAACACAATGTGCACGAGTTTAAATATTATAAACTAGAAGTTTCTAGAAGTTTACAAAATTCGCCCGGGACCCGAATTCACTTGGGGTTCAATTTGCCCGGAGTCCAAATTCGATGTTCTAAAACATTCACGGGGTCATGCTGGTCAAGTAATAAAATTCTAAAAAAAATGTAAATTTCTTCTAAATGTAAAATGTACACAGGTAGGTTTATCCTGGTTAAGCCTAGCCCACAACCTGCCGTAAACCGGTAAAAGGTCGCCCACAGGCTTCTTGCGGCTTGCCTGCGTGCAAACCAAAGCCTATACGACCCGTGCGTGTCCAAAACACGTACGATGAATTGTGAGCCATAATAGGCCTTAGATAACTTTACAGAGAATATTGTATGTATAGGTATTTAATTCCTGCATCCGTCTAAAACATTTGGCGTCATCTCCTGAAATTAATATTTAATGATATAATAATATATTGATTAAAATATACACAAAATAATCTGAGTAGCAATCTAAAATCAATTTATCGGTTAAAAAGAGAGATAATTATATACAAATTTCATATTTTCCGCAAATTATTGAATATTCGTTGCAGTAATTATACTAATGTGCTGCTGTTATTTGATAATATTGGGTAGTATTTTGTAGTAGGCTGTAAGTATTTGGTAGTTGTGAGGGGATCACGTGGCTAAGTGGGTAAGACGCTAGCTCGCTAGCCTGGAGGTCGGGTGTTCGATCCCTGCATTCGCCGAGAAAGTTCATCCAGATTTTCCGGCGTGGTTCTGCCTTGTCAGTGATGCAGGACGGAGGGGCTGACAAGGAAAGCTGTCTAGTCGTTCGGATGGGACGAAAAACCGAGGTCCCGTGTACACATTGGCATGCACGTAAAAGAGCCCTTGGCAGTTGAAATTCGATATAAGAGTAGGCCGTAGTGCCGCTGTCCGGGCAAAATTTCCCTCATAGCACACTGTAACCAGCCCGTCTTCATTAGCCCAGGTTAGGAGCAAAACAGTAGGACGTTAAACTACATTTCATTTCATTTGGTAGTTGTGATATAGGGAAGCAAATGGAACAGCCAGACATCGGCATCGCGATAACTCTGTATGTCCATTTTACATCATTATGTTGTATAGTAATGGGGGGGGGGGGTTGGATGGCTGAATGGTTAGCGTGCGCGCGCTGTATCATAAAGTCTGTCATTGAGTCGACTGGTGTGGTTTCGAATCCCCGGTTGTACGTGACAAGGAGTAGGGTCGCCTGTCCAACCTCGTGGGTTTTCTCCGGGTCCTCCGGTTTCCTCCCACTGCTAAAGACCCCTACGCGCAAGCGAATTATTGAAATAAAATTAAACCATATGTTAGTCCCGAAATGACCTAGTTTGTGTCGAGTGGACGTTAAACCCCATTTCTCTCTCTCTCTCTCTCTGTATAGTAATGGTGGTATGTGGTGAATTGAAGTAGTATTGGGTGGTATTGAGTAGCATTGGGTAAATCGTCCCACCGGTGCCAACTTAATATTTATCACCTGACCGCGCATTTTTTTTTAATTCTTGCTTGACATGTGTCATTTAGCGGCAAGTGAAGTAGGCTCCCTGAAACATGAATATTCTGAGAAAAATCTTTTTGAAAATCATTAAGTGTTGCGGGGTGGGGGTGGTTAAATACTTAGTAGATTTAAAAGAGTAAAGATCAATGCAACAATTAACCTGAAGTAGAATATTTTCCATATTATTCGAAATTAAAAACAAATTAAAATTCGATATTGGTCCATTTCAATCCACATTTATGTTGTTACTAGCAGGATACCCGGCTTCGCTCGGGGGTCATAACTCCGAAACCGGCTGTGGTAGACTAACGCCACCTGACCTATGTTACTCCCGGTCCGAACTACCCCTATACCCCAAATTCCAGACTCGGGGCAACCCCGAACAGACCGGCTTCGCTCGGGGGTAATAACTCCGAAACCGGAAGTGGTAGACTAACGCCGCCTGGCCTATGTTACTCCCCGGTCCGAGCTACCCCTATACCCCAAATTTCAGACTCGGGGCAGACCTAGTGTAGCCGCCAACCCCAAACAGACAGACAGATACCCGGCTTCGCTCGGCGGGGGGCATAACTCCGAAACCGGAAGTGGTAGACTAACGCCACCTTTCCCATGTTACTCCCCGGTCCGAGCTACCCCTATACCCCAAATTTCAGACTCGGGACAGACCTAGTGTAGCCGCCAACCCCGAACAGACCGGCTTCGCTCGGGGGTCATAACTCCGAAACCGGAAGTGGTAGACTAACGCCACCTGGCCTATGTTACTCCCCGGTCCGAGCTACCCCTATGCCCAAAATTTCAGACTCGGGGCAGACCTAGTGTAGCCGCCAACCCCGAACAGACAAACGACAGTCACAAATATATATATAGAAGATGTTGCCGTTAAATTGTGGGATCCTAATATCCAATATTTAAGACAACGAATATTTTAAAATCCATACACGAGTCGTGTACCCTATCGTATCGGGCTCAAAAGGAATGAACAAAGAAAATTACAATGAAGCAGTAGTTATGGCTGATTCACAAATGATAAGATAATAATAGAAGGAAAACGTGAATGGGCTAATTTAGACGTAAACGATTGTTGTTTAGTTATGACTGTTTGCGCATTTCACGGAACATGATTGATTAGAAATTACAATTTTAATTTTTTTTATGTTTCCAAAAAGCTGAATGGTTAGCCCATGCGCGCTTGCATCATACGGTCTGCCATTGAGTCAACTGGCGTGTTTTCGATTTTCTGGTTGTACGTGACAAGAAGTAGAGTCACCTGTCCAACCTCGTGGGTTCTTTCCGGGTCCTCCGGTTTCATCCCAATGCTAAAGACACTTATGCGCAAGCGAATTATTGAAATGCAATTGAACCACATGTTAGTCTCGAAATGACCTAGTTTGTGTCGAGTGGACGTTAAACTCTCTCAAATCACGTAATTATGCGGTAAGGTTTCACCTTTACTTGAACGAGTATTAATTTACTATTTGTTAAGCTATGTGCAGTCCAGTTCGATATCGGTTTAATTGGAAATGCTAAAGACACTTATGCGCAAGCGAATTATTGAAATGCAATTGAACCACATGTTAGTCTCGAAATGACCTAGTTTGTGTCGAGTGGACGTTAAACTCTCTCAAATCACGTAATTATGCGGTAAGGTTTCACCTTTACTTGAACGAGTATTAATTTACTATTTGTTAAGCTATGTGCAGTCCAGTTCGATATCGGTTTAATTGGAAATTTTGGGAGATATTTGTTTAAAACACAGATCCTATTTCGTTTCGTTTTTTATAGTTCAAAATTTCATTTTATTTGTCTTTACTAAACTAGGATCTGGAAGAGTTGTTATATTACCGGCCTTTTGGTTGAAGGGGGGGATAAGCCAATTAAACAGTCTGTTACGACGACTTCTTGGCGTCCCATGCACGGAACTGTGGGTAAACCACTAGAAACGCCAACACTGATTGATTAATCAATGTCTGACGTCATAGGGTCAAAAGCCGCTCGTACGAACCCTGATACGACCTTCGAGTACAATTGTCAGATCTTCATGTAGTGTAGGCCATCGAAAGTATAAAAAACGAAACGAAATATAGATCTGTATTTTAATCAGATTGAATAGGCTTTTTTGTAACCAAAAGATTATAAAACTTCCCCAAAGACGGAAGACATCAGTAGTGGAACTTGTACGTATTCTATAGAATTATGTTCAGTGTTTATATATATTCTATAGATATTCTTGGTTACATACATTAAATAGTTAGAACATTTGATCCCTGGAGAAACATGGCAATTCATATTATGACATATACTATAAGACGTGCAATTTTAGTTGTTCAAGCTACCTATTACTTGATACCTACCTATATCTGACAGGGTATTTGTAGGCGGCTATTTGTGTGGCTGCAGGTTTCTCGCAGCGCCCTCAAAATGCCGGCTGTAACTATAACCCGAAATCAACGATTTCGATATATTACACGGGAATGAAATTTATCTTAAATTTTTGGCTGACTGTCGATTATATTATGTCATTACTGGCTTTATCTGAAGAGGTAAAATCATTTTACAAAGAGTTAAATTAAATGGGCTAAAATCAAATGTTAAAGTGCTGTCAATTAATGGTGCCAAGATTTTCAACATTGTCAAAAATCTACAGCGCATGGATCTCAGCATGTATGACAAAATTATCATTCAGGCTGGAGGGAATGACGTATCAGAGCTACGGTCCTTATCTGATATTACATATGACCTGAAAAGAACAGTGGACACTATTAGAAAGAAAAGGCCAAATGCACATATTTTCATCTGTGAGGCTACACCAAGACATGACCAGGCAGGACAAAATATCGATCATAACATTCAATTTTATAACAATGTCCTTCGTGAGTTTTGTGTTCAAAAGGCAGTAAATCTAATTCGAGTGTTTGATTCAATAAAATCTGACTACAGACATATTTGGAAAGACAATATTCACTTGTCTGACAGAGGTACATCTGCACTACTACATATTTATGAAGAATATGTAGACATTATCAAGGAAAGACTAGACATTAACAATAGTTTCATTAAACCCTGTTTCTTCTGTGGTATTTCGGGTCATACAAAAGACACGTGTAAAATTGGTACCAA